CACTTTTAGCTCTCTGTTTTAACATACATATTAATAATCGTCAGTATAGTATCTGCATTCGTCTAATAGTGGTTGTGATCCAAACTTTGTGTATCCAATCAAAAAGTTCTTTACATCAGATGCTGTATACAACATCCTTCTCCTGGTTTTAAAAGATAAACATACATAGCAGCAAAATGTGGGTTGATTATTCTTCTTCGTTTTACTGAATTCTTAAAATGAGGATCAGGAAATGTTATAAATATTTTCAATAATTGACCTTTAACAAAATAATTGTCAACATACTTCATACAATTACATTGAATAATCCAAACATTCATCAATTCATTCTTTTCTCTGGCAGTTTGAATCTTTTCTAATCCGTATTGAACTGCTGGATCTCGAATTTCCATTCCAAGAACATTTTTCTCTTGAATTATTCCTACCTCCCTAACTAATCCTCCCCATCCACATCCAATATCAAGCATTTCTGCTGGTTTTCCATTTGGAAAATATAATTTCCAATCAAGAGATTGTGGTGTAATAGGATTTGTTGATGGACTATCAGCAAGAGGATTTCTATGTGCATGAACTCTGTGGAAAGGCTTAATACTTTTCTTTTTCTTTATTATTGAATCATGTAAGTGTTCTGTTATTTGATGTTCTGAAGACATAGAATAGTGGAATATGATTTTGAGATCATCTAAGAAAAACAAAATACTTAAGATGAAAAGAGATTACATACTTATTCAACAACTTAAAAAAATTTATAATAATCTTCCAAATTCTAAATTGTATAATAGTTATGATACTAGTAGAATTAAATATATAGATATTCAACCTATTTCTATGGAAAAAATCGAAGTTATAGAATTAGATGAAAACCCACAAAATAATGAAACAGAAATCTTATTAGATCAATCTCCTTTTACTTCTCAAAATAATCCAATAAAAAGCACAGTATCAGATTTATTATTACTTCAACCACCATCATACATCACAAATAATACAAAAACATTAACTAATCAATTAACATCAACAAATAGTATTATTCATAATATTGCTTCAAAACCACCTCTTCCTATAAATGGAAATATTATTCCACCTCCATCAATCAACCCAATATTAAAAATTAGAAAAAGTGATTCAAGAATGAAACAACTAAAGTTTAATATACAACAACCAAACATAAATACTGTTAAAAGAGATTCTGATATTCCACCTCAAATTATAAGACAACCACCAAAAAAATCTAATGTATTTAATATTGATTTAAGTTTAATACAAGAAAAACCAATAATTATTGATGATGATGATGATGATTCTTTTATTCAAATCAATGATAAAGGAGAAGAAGTCATTGATTTATCAGCAATTGATCAAATTAGTCAAGATGATGATACTAAAACAAAAGATTTAATTAAAATTCTTGAAACTGAAGTTCATAATTATTCAACAATTCATTAAAACTTTAATTTCTTTTTAGTTTTATATTCTTTAAATCCTATTGTAAAAATTTTTCAATTAAACAACCAAATACATTATTAGAGAATAGTTAATTCTCCTCTAAGATTCGATTTAATATTATTTCTTACTTCATCTGGAGTCATTCCTTGAGCAAGTAACCATGTTAATTTAGTGAATGCTGCTTCAATAGTCATATCTCCACCACTAACAACACCAATTGATTTATATCCATATGCTGCACTATAATCATCTAAATCAACTCTTCCCATATGACATTGTGTTATATCAACAATAACTACTCCTCTTTGAATTGCTTCTCTCATTGGTTTTAAAAAGTTTTCTTTATCAGGTCCATTACCTGCACCAAATGCTGCTAATATTACACCTCTAACATTATTATTTAAAACTGCTTCAATAAATGTTGATGTAATACCTGGATGAAGATAGATAATAATAACACCATCTGTAACTGTAGGAATAAATCTCATTGGCGCATTAGCATATGGATTAACGTGTGGCCAATCAACAAGAATTTCAGCACCAAACATTGCCAATGCTGGATAATTAGCTGAATCAAATCCCTCATAACTATTTGCTTTTAACTTTTGAACTCGATTTCCTCGATATAAATGTCCTCCAAATGTAACAACAACTTCTGGAATTGGAATATCACCAGCAGTTGTTAATGCACTTAGTAAATTATTTGTAGCATCTGAATATGGTTGACATAATGGTGTTTGTGCTCCAGTAACTACAATCGTCTTATTTAAATTCTCAAACATAAATGAAAGAATACTTGAAGTATATGCAAGAGTATCAGTTCCATGCAATACAACAAATCCATCATAATCATTATAATTCTCATTAATTACAACTGCTATTCTTACCCAATCTTTTGGTGTCATTGCTGATGAATCAAGTAATGGGCTTAATTCAATAAAATCATAATATGGTAATGTTTCACTTTGGAATTGCGGCATTTCTTGAATTAATGATTGAAGATATCCAGGCTGTGGTTCCCATCCTTGTTCTCCTTGTTTCATTCCAATTGTCCCACCTGAATAAACAATAAGAACATGCTTTGGGTTATGTGTTGCTTGTGCTATTGAAAACAATAAAAGAATATACAAGAAGATCATTTCGTCTAACTAATCAAGTTTTCCTTTTTTTTTGTCTATAATTAACAGAATGGTTAAGAAATCAATCGAAAATCTTTTTTACTGACGAATATTCTATTTATTTCTTTATTTTATTAATTGATAAGTATTTTATTTATATAATTTCCTTTCGTTATATATGTCAAAAATAAAAAATAAAGAAAAGTTCAAAGAAAAACCTCAAAAAAGATTTATAAATATTAAAAGTGAAAACTTGAAAAGAATTAGATAAAACATGACAGTAAAAGAAAATATCTCATTGTATCGACCAATTGAGGTTACTTGCTATCCATTCATGTTCATGCAAACTCCTCAACCACCACAACCTACTGATAAGGTAGTATTTCCTAGTTACGTATTGGACGAATTAACAAAACAAAACCCCGACTTTCAAGCGCCGATACTATTTGAAGTAAAAAGCAAAAGTCAAAAATTTACCAAACGAATAGTTTGCGGGGTTGAATCATTTTCGTCTCCAGATTTCACTTATTTTCCACAATGGATTTTAGACTATCTTCATCTTCAACCAGGTGATGCTGCTACTGTTCTTAAAGTGTCTATTCCTAAAGGAAAATCAGTTACATTTAAGCCATTGCAAAATACATTTTATAGCGTTGAAGATCCAAAGAAAACCCTTGAAGCCATATTGAGAAACTATATGACATTAACATTAAACACAACTATAACATTTCAGATGAATACAGTTCTTGATGGGATGAATATTGCTACTGATGTTAGTGTATTAATATCAGAGGTTCAACCATTTACTTCAATTTATATCAGGGAGACAGAACTTATTGTTGAGTTTGAAGAGAATCCAGAAATTTCACCGAAATACAATAAACCACAACCAATGGAAGAAGAGAAAAGCGAGGAAGAGGAAGACATTGATTTTAAATTTACTTCTGTTATCCAACAACCGGTTGAACAACAGATGGCTGATAGTTCTGATTTTAAACCATTTGAAGGGGAAGGAAGTAGGCTTGGAAGATCAAGAGATATGGAACAAAATGATTATACAGATACTGAGCTTTGCCCATATTGTAATGGCCATATCAAAAAAGCAAATTTCAAGATTCATGAATTAAGATGTCGTAAAATGTATAAAATATGTCCATTCTGTGGAAAAAAATTACTTATTAACTCAGAAGAATTACAAAAACATTTAGACCTTCACGTACAAGTGAAGTGTATTCAATGTGGTAAAGAAGTTGAAAAACAGTATTTAAAAGAACATATGAATAGTGTTTGTCCTAAAAGATTAATAAAGTGTGAGTATTGTTCATTAATGTTTCCTGTTAATCAAATTCAGCAACACAAAGATTATTGTGGGAATACAATAGAAGAATGTGATTTGTGTGGAGCAAAAATTTCATTAAAACAAATGCAGCATCATAAAGAATATGACTGTGCATTTGCACCAAGGAATATTCAACACGAACAAGAAACTACTGAAAGTTTTGGACTAGAGACATCACAAGAAGGTGAGTTTGAATGTCCTATGTGTATGAATCATTTTTCCAATCAAGTTGATCTTGACACCCATATGCTTTGTTTCCATCCAGAATTGTATGACTAATAAAAATTATTAATAAATTTTTGTTATAAATTTGTGTTTTTTAAATAAAATTTTCTTATTTTTAAAAAACTTAAAAAGAAGAAATAATAGATTTTATAATTTATGTCATCAAATAGAAGAAGTGGAAACAAAATTACACCTT